CGTTTGAGCCTACCTGTGATGACTTTGGGCATCTCACGTCGTTGCACTTTGGGTCTACCAACAACTTGGATGGAACATTACCACCAGAGCTTTCTTTGCTGGCAACAACCTTGCAATCATTTCTAGTTGGTCGAAACTATCAACTCAAAGGAATCATTCCTACAGAAGTTGGACTGATGACAAGGCTAACAGTTATGGGATTCAGCGAAACAAGCTTGTCTGGCACAGTTCCCTCGGAAATGGGTCGACTGCAAAGTTTAGATTCCCTTGTCATTGATCACAGCAAGATTGGCGGGACTGTACCTTCGGAGCTTGGCAACCTCAGCAGCTTGATATGGTTAGTCTTCGAAAGCACAAATTTCTCAGGTATGCACACAGATATCGAGAAATGGCCAAATGCAATTCTTGAGCGTTCTTCTATTGACTCAGATCTTCCACATCACTATAGGGTCCTTCCCCAGTGAAGTGTTTCTATTGTCAAACCTTCGAGCCTTGCAAGTCTTTGAATGCCCTGGACTGAAGACAGAATCTGTCCTCCATGGGGTGGTCAGAAATATGCATAAGATAGAAAGGCTTGGTCTAGGCCGTGGGAAATCTGGCAGGTTCATATCAGTCCCAAGTAAGAGTAAACAATTGCGGTTGTTTCGCTGCATTAATGGGTTGTTTCCATGGTTTCTGACACTATTTTGTTCGACAGCTGAAATTGCCAGGCTGACAAACATGCTTTCCCTTTCTTTGCTTGACTTTCAACTCAATGGCACCCTTCCAAGTGAAGTTGGGCTGCTGACAAAGCTTGTAAGTCATCACCAATCTTGTTGTTGTAGTGGTGGCTTGCACTAATAAATTTGCCGCACACACATGCAGACCATGCTGAGGTTGCATGAGAATGCTATTGTAGGCGCTTTACCAACGGAGTTTTTGAAGTTGTCTGGTGAGTAATGACCAGTTACAGAATTGGTGAGGGCCGATTTTGCTTCTAACATGCATCTGCCTGTTTCTGCTTCAGGGTTGAATATCTTGGACATTGGATCCAACCAGATGGAAGGCAAACTGGAACAAAGTCTGTTTTCCCAACTCACCCAGTTACATGTGTTTAGTATCAATGGCAATTGGTTCTCAGGCAGCCTTCCCACAGAGGTTGGCCTTCTGTCAAGCCTCCGGAAGCTACAATTGCATAATACCAATCTCTCTGGCACACTGCCCACCGAGCTGCAATTGATGGACAAGCTGACCAGTTTGGTAGTCATGAACACATCTTTGTCGGGCAGTATCCCTTCCAAACTTTGCTCCGCAATACTCCCCCCACAAGAACTCAAGTGCTTTGGCGGAGAGTGCTACTAGTATAAAGTAGCAACCACCTCCTTGTCAGCCTGTCATGGAACTCGTCTATGTGGTTGCAGTTGTGATCCGTGTCCAGTGTAAAGCTCACAGTGCAATGTGGTGAGTGTTAGATAAATCTCCATAATCAAAGACATATTGAACCTCTTCTGCAGTCGTAACGCACATATCTTTTACAGGTTCAGGGTGTGGCAAGAGATCCTCGTTTCTGCAATCTGCATCGCACCAGTAATCAAACCATGGTCTCCTCTCTGCTGAGTGCCCAGGCCTGGCGCTCCAAGTATTGGACGCAGGCAGCATACCAACGAGCCTTTTCGACCAAGCGAACGGCGGTAGTTGTTGGAGCCACGAGCGGAATTGGAGAGGCATGTTCTCATCGATTGGCCGAGCAGGGGTTTTGCGTTGTCGCCGTGGGACGTGATCGACCAGGACGTGCCGAGCAAGTCGTTCAAGCGCTGCAAGAAAAGAGTTCGAATGCAATGGCAGAGCTGAAGGTTCAAGGCGATATTCCTCAGCACGAGTTTTTTGCCTGTGACGCTTTTTCTTTGAAGAATGTCTACGAAACGGGGCAGCGCATCCAAGAAAGGCATCCCAAAATTGATGCCCTGGTCTTGTCTCAGGGCATGGCCACCACTCAAGGTTTTACGCCGACAGCCGAAGGGAACGACGAGAAAATGACGCTCCACTACTATTCGCGAATGTGTTTTATACAGTCGCTGCTACCTGCACTACAAAAAAGTGACATGCCGGCTGTAGTAGTCTCGGTTCTTTCTGGTGGCGTCCACAGTCCTTATAAAGATTACAAGACACATCCTGGGTTGAAATCCAACTACAGCATGGCCAATGCCGCCAATGCGGCTGGTTACTACAACGATTTGGGATTGGATCAAATGGCACTGAAGTACACCCCTCTAAAATTTGTTCATGCCTGTCCGGGCTTTGTCAATACCAATTGGGGCAGCGAATTCCATCCAATCTTGCGAGGAATGGTGCGCCTGCTTCAGCCTTTCGGGCGCAAACCAGCGGATTGTGCAGACTATTTGATGGGGTCCACCGTCTTGGCAGCCGATGCGGGAGATTTCCCTCCTTCATCTGGCGTCGCGATTGTGGGCCAAAATGGCGAAAAATTGGACGTTACAGCAGAGCATACAGAAGATGCTCGGACTCATGTATGGAAGCACAGTGTGGAAGTGTTAAAAGAGGCGGGTGTCCCAATAGAGGAATAATGTTAAAGACAAAAACAACAACCAACCATCCGTGTCTCTGTGGACTATCTACCGGAAGCTAGAGACGAAAACCAGTTGAATTCTTGAAACCCTCGTGTTTCCTTTTTTCGACACAATGGAATCCCCCGACCATGAAGGGAGAACAACGCATACGGAACAAGATAGCTAACTATGGATCGTTGGTCCTTACAATGTGAAAGATTCAAACACATCACGACCAGGCCAATTCCCATGAATCAGAAATTCCATTCGAGCGGCCGGAAGAGAAACAGCATCATCACTGCTCATAAATTGTTCCCGGCGTTGGGACAAATCGTTTTGCGGTCTTTGGACGACAAAACTTGTTCATCAGAGACAATGGATGTCGCAAAAATGCCATTGGGCATTAACATTCTGTTGAATGCAAAACAGCAAACCATGTTATCATCCGGAGGTGCCACGGAGAAAATGGTCAAAGTGATGGACAGTGTTGTGGAAGTGATCAAAGAAGCGAATCGCGAGGCTATGGGCAAGGACTGTGTGGCCGTCAACGAGAAGGAATGTGCCGTGAAGGTCGTCAGCGAGAAGAAATGTGAGGAAGCTTTGACTGAGCGTGTATGGACAAATGCGCAAGTCCAAGAACACATAATTGAAGCTTCCAAGGCGCCTGCTGCTCGTAGTGCTTCTGCAGCCGACCTTTCAAAGGCTATAACACTTCGCCGGAAAATCGAGCTCGGAGAGGTTGTTGCTTTGGACGACAAGCTGTACACGGATGGTATCTGCGCTGCCCCCAACTGCAACAAGAAAGCTCACACCAAGAAGCACATCTCCTGGTGCAAGGAACACGAAAAGGCGTTGGTCAAGAATAGCGCAAGCGACTTTGACAGTGAAATGAAGAAATGGCCCAAGTGGCTTCAGGAATGGGTCAAAGAGTTGCGTGGGCTGCAGCTCAATGAGGAGGAATGTCACGGGCTGTTGTACAGCTTCGTGCCCCCAATGCTCCTTTTGTTAGAGAAACACTCGGGCCACTCACGTACCAGTGCAAAACTTTTTGATGCCATTGCCACTTACAAGAAACACTACAATCCCATTCCTGCGGTTGCGTCATTTCTCCTTACGTGTGCATTGACCTTCATTATCTCCTGTCTTGTGGCCATCATCTTGGCTGTGGCTGTTGCCATCATCCAAAAAATACTTGAATTTGTTGCCAATGCCGCCGAAATCATAGTCTTACTATTAGTCCATCAAGTCGGATGGAGAGCTCCGGAGTGTGTTAGCTCGATGCTTGCTGGCGGCCTCGTTGGCGCTGGAGTCGGAGCAAGTGTGTCTGGAGCCGCAGCCACCTTGCTTGTGCCTGCCGGAGTCGGAGCAAGTGTGGCTGCGGCAAGTGTTCTTGCGACAGCAGAGGCTGGAGCCGCAGCCACCTTGCTTGTACCTGCTGGAGCCGCAGCCGCTTTCCTTGTGCCTCCTGGAGCGTTGCTTGGCACTGCTGGGGCATTGGTGGGAGCGGGTGTTGGGCTAGGATACTACCTCTTCAACGCCGATTATCGTCGATGAAGGCGGTCTATCGAGGAAAGATGAGGACTAGCTTACACATTGAGCAATGATTCTGGAAAGCTTGTTATGGTAACATGAGGTTGCAGTGTGCTTGCATTTTTGGTTCCATGTATATCGAAGGCTCCAAAACAAAAACTTTTTCCTTTTGCAAACGATTCTGTCGTCTTCTCCTTTGGCTGGACACATGACGTAGCTAGTTAGCTACATTGGTTCAGTTCTTCTTGTTGAAAGCGATTCACTGTTACTGCAATCTTGTACAATCGTTGCAGGGCTGCGACTGCCGGCGATGCTAACGACAGTTCGTCCTGAAACTCTTGAGAGGCATACCTTTCTCGACACCTCTTGGCTTCCTGATTGCCATTGTTGCTGGAGTGTTGTTTTCCTGTAACTTGTGGGTTGAGACTGGTGTTCATATAAGCCACTCGTTGCGTGACCATCTCATAAAACTGGTTTGTCTCGTTCAACAACCCAACAACTGCAAACGAATGACGCAGGTTGTGGGAGGCTTGCCGTTCCCAGTTGGGTAGCAGCTGTTGGAGGATTGTCGTGAGATCTTTGCTATCAGAGGTGGATATCGTTTTGGCATATGCCCCCAAACAATGTTGTCCACACAAATAGAGAATGTAAGATGTGGCTCGAAGAGTAGCCCATCCATTGGCGGCATAGTTGATGTCATCACATGGAACGAACGGCTCTGGTGGCGGTGGTTTCCCTGCTCGTTTGCGGTGCACGTACTGTTCCTTGTTGCGTTGTGTCCCGCGATCTGGTGAAACCCATTGGAGCGTGCTGCTGCTGCTGGCATTACTAGCGGTGGCATTGGTAGTAGCATTGTTTATAGCAATATGGGGATGCTCGTGATGCCAAAAGAATTTGGAAAGCAGCCACGAGAAGGGATCTCGAAGCACGGTAACTCGTACCACGGGCAAAGAGGAAATCATGCGGGCCCCAACAAGGCCCGGATCATTAATGTCAGAAATTGCAGGTGTAGAAGCGAGCTGTTGTACCAATGTGTCAACGGCATCTTCTTTCGGCTGAAAGCATGTCTCGTAGTTGTCCTTGTAGTATTGACGGTAGATCTTGTCAGTAAAGTTGACATGAAAGGGTGATGGAGGTATGGCGCACTGAAGCTGCACCGAAGGAGAAGCCATTCTTGGTGTGTATGTTTTGTCACCATCCACTGGAATTACCTCCAGAGTCCCATTCATGACTTGATGCCTGTCCTGTAGCAGCTCTGCTATCCTTGCAGTCATGGGGTGATGCGGATGGCATGGTTGTGCAATCGACGATCTGGTTCGCCACCACTTCAACAAGAAGTCTGTGGGCAACCAATGAAATTCGCTTCCCAGTAAGTTGTGGCCCATGTACACCAAGTCACATCTGCTGCCGTCTTGAGTGTTGTTGTCGTATCTAGTTCTTTCGTCGCGGCATTGCGTGGAAACCAGTGGGCAGGCAATGGCTTGTCCTAACGGAGTGGTAGCTCCACATGGTGTCATACCTTCCCACTGATAATCGCCCTTGAAGGCATCCACAGCGTCGCCATTGCCAGTGGGGACCATGTTGGGAAGGGTCGAGCTGGCGAAATGTCCTTTGTGGAGTGTTTGGCTATCGTCCCAAATAGGATAGTAGTAGGTCAAATCTTTGTGTACACGAAACCAATTTGGTCTTTTGTAGTCCAAAGCAGATGCCGCCAATCGAGCACGCACACCTCCACCGCCCGCCTTTCCAATGTGCACAAAGATAAAGGGAGCCTCTTGCAGGTTGCATCCCCATCGGCGAATTGTGGAATCATTTTGCCGACTTGGCGGAAGAGGGAGAAGTTGTTCATCTGACTGAGAAGGCGGTGTAGTGTCACAAGCGTCAGTCTCGTTGGAAGTGATGGTGCTGCTTGAATCGTCACATTCGCTTCCACAAGAAGACATTGGGAACAAAACAGAGGCGGTTGCCTCCTTCAAGTTGATGTTGACGAACCAACTCAGCTGGAATAAAGCCAAAGAAAACACAAGAAAACGCGCATGGGATGGAAGCGTCTTCATCTTGGCTCAGCGTAGTTCTTTCGCCAGGTTTGTGATTTTTAGATGAATGATCTGCTGTGCGTTTGACATCGTCTGTTCATCCGAGATGGGAGGCATGTGAAAACCACTGGATGGGGAGGGAAGACAATCCTGGCTCTCAGAACAAGGAGTGCGAGGCAGCCAGTCGTGGTGTGTCTGAAGCGAAAAGTCGAAGGTTCTAAAGAGTGGGGGTTTGTTTGTTTGTGTTTTGGTAAAAGCTTGAGAAGTTATTCTTTCTGGTCTACAGTTTAGCCTATCTATCTTTAGTTTGTAGTTTGAAGACGACCGTGAGTTCGGTTTCATCGCTATTGTTTTGGTTGCACCCCGAGACAAGCTTCAAGTCCAGCGGGCAAATGCATTCTCCATCGCGTCAGCCACAATTTCAAGGTCTTCCGCCTCGTACCCCGTGTAGCGGGCCCAAGCGGGTGCCCAAGGAACACTGCGCTTCTGAAATGCAAGGAACAATGAAGCTGAAGCCATTTGGCTAGGACGAAATTCAATCAACAAGTCATGACAGGGTAGAGTGCGGTCCAAAATATTGTGGGCCATCAGAGAAGTGGATTCTTCGGCGTTGGTCACCTGAAGATACAAGTCGAGGAATGTGCTGGCAGTGGGAAAGGAAACCCCATAATCGAGAGTCTTCAAGATCGCCTCTTCGGCGGCCACAAAGTCTTCAGGGGGGTACTTCTTTTGACAAAGGTAGACAAGATCGTTCATGCTTACGTTGCAGATTTCTTCGTACTTCGACGCAATCCAGAAGCAAGCCGCACCACCCAACTGTAGCTTCGACGAGCGCACTCGTTTGTCCGTAGTAGTGTCCAAGAATCGATCGAATAGATTCACCGCCAAATGCAACGTCTTGCTCGAAAAATCATAGAACGAATTGACGTTTGTGATCCAATCGATAAGACTGGCCCGGTGGTCACTCGATAGGAAAGGTTGATCCGCCAAATAAGAAGGTGAAACTTGCGCCAAATGCTCTTGACTTCGTAGAGTCGTGTGAATGTCATCCGCGTATGGAACGGTAACTGGAAGGTCTTCTTGTTGGATTTCCTGAGGGAGAACAAATGATGCTGCAGGCACTGTGGCATTCTTCCTGACATTTGAGCAAGTGTACTTTTTCAAGATATCGCTGGCGGCGCAAGAGCTGACTTCGATGGCTTTCTGGAACGGATGAACGGCGGAGTTCTTCTCATGTTTTGGTTGGACAGGTTCAATATTGGTCTTGAGTAAAATCACATCGTCCTGTCGATTCGAACCTTCAGGTAACTTGTGGCTGAGCTTGTTTTGTACTCCTGGTACATTCGATGTTAAGGTGGATGGTCTTGCAATTGCCGGACGGGGAAGAAACTCACGCGGTTTGATCTTTTTCTTGGCTTTGTAGTTTTGCTTCGACACATTCGTCACGTTCTGGAGAGGATTTCTTGACTTCTGTAAGGCCATTGTATTCTCTGCGGTTGGCCGATTGGGCTGGTTAGGATGGATGGTCCAAAGGGATGTCATTGTTCACGATGAAATAGAAAGGGACGTCGTATGCGTAGGACACAGTAAAGTAGTTTTCTTCAAAGAAAAGTGGCTGACCGTATGAGAACAAACAACATGTTGTTGGGCAGTATGATACCGAATTCTTCGCCAAAGATGGAACGTTTTTTTAGCTTTTTTGATCTTCAAACTTCACACCAAATCAAACTGGATCACAATATGATTTCAAAAATTAATTATTTACTGAAGTTTCAAACCTCGTCATGATTGTGATGTCTTTAAAAGAATTAATAACGCGAGGAAACTTGTATGGAAGGGAGCAAGCTTTGGCATGGTAGCGAAGTCACCCATCGTAGCTTCATCTTCACGTCATCAGCCCTGCTTCGACGCTTCGACGCTTCGACACCTACTAGCTAGTACGACTGTACCTTTTCCTTCAATTGTCTTTCCTGAGCATTTTGTGAGCGGAGAAACCTCCCTCCGGTTTTCTCCGAAGGGTGACCTCAGGGCGACTATTTGTCCACGCCCGAATCGAATCCACGGTTGATTCAATTCCACGCTCGCCGCATTTTCAACCCTTCGTAAGGCTTTTGACCGCGGTAGGTTTGTGGGCATTGCCATTCAAATCTTCATGCATGCAGTACCACAAAGAGAAGAGCATTCAGGGTATTGTATGGAGTTTTTAGTTCGGAGCGTGGGACGGTGCGCCGCAGTACCCGTACGTGTGCCTCTGCCCAGGAAGCCGTGCTAGTGGTACCGGTACTCGACGATGCGTCGAAGCCTTCTCACAGCTCTTCTCGCAGTGGCGGATGCTGCTCTGGGTTTGATGTTTGCGCCCTTCTCCAAATCGTTTTCCAGCAAGATCTTGGGTTGACTTTTGGAGCAACAAATAGCACATGGATGGACTGGAAGCCAACTTCTCGAAGGCGAACGGCAATGCTTTTCTTCTCTTGTCTTCCGTCAACGGGCCTCCCCAGTCCCCTGCCTCACAGTAAAGGTCGTAAACTGCTTTGTTCAGCCGCAGTCGTTCAGAGATTTGTTCCCTCAAATCTTGCTTGACGATGTGGGAAAGCCAGACGTCTGAACTCCTGAAGTACAATGGTTGAGGTTGTTTTTTCAATGCCTCGAGAAGAAGGGTCGCCTGTTCGTCGCAGTAAATCGACGCGCAGACACGGAGACTCTCGAGCTTTCGCAAGCGAGGGAGAACGTCAACGATCCGACGGAGAATAGCAGTATCGGCCCTGTCCACGTAATTAGGACAAGCAAATAGCCGCAGCGCAGATCCCCCGGATTGTGAAAGCACCTCCAGGAAAGTTGCAACCCCGTCGTAGTTTAAGCAGCTGCGATCGCAGTAGAGCCGCAGACGCTCGAGAGTAGTGTTGTGAACAAGGGACCGCGCCAGCAGTTGGATGCGGTCGGACCTCATATCGACCCCTTCGAAACAGAGAGATTTTAGTTCAGTCTGGCTGCATTCGAGCGCCCGGGAAATCGATTGGAATCCGTTGCTCGTCGTGCTGTCAAATTGAATTCTTAGTTCGCTTCGGATAGCTGTTGGGGCTCTTGGGAGCAACATTTCTTCAACCGACCACAAGCAATTCGAGACATCGCCGGCCCCCAGGGGATATTTCTTTGGCGTCCTTTGCAGAACCAGAGAATCACGACCCGACTGCTTTCCCATAATCCGCGTAAAAGGTTGAACGTTCGGCATTTGGTCGAGGCCCAACACCTCCAAAACTGAGCTTCTTTCCACCAAGAGGGCGAGGTCGTAGAGCTCCGAATCGGACAAAGTTGTGCTCAAGAACTGCAAAACCACAAGATATTCAGCATGTTGCCGAATACCTTCAAAAAGTGTCTGGAGAGCGCCGTCTTCTCTTGTGTTGGCATTGCAAATCCGCAGCCCTCCGATACCACCCTTATTTTGACTCATTGCATCGACCAAGTATTCCATGTCTTCTCGTGTCACATTTGTACCCACAAAGTCAAGAGTCAGGGCCCGGATCGGAGACGGCTTCTCGTTTCGAGAATGGATGCACTGCAACAATGTTTGGAAGATTTCACGGCACCTCATCGGCCCGATCGCGATTGACTGGATATTTCTATTGTACCGAGGAATCGCTCCCGCCAGAATTGTGGCACTGTACATTGACACAGACCCAGGTATATAGATGCGCTGTGCCTGCCCCAAACATTCGAAACAGCGCGGCACAGAGCAGTGCGATCGTCTTTCGGCCTCGTCATAATCCCTCATTTTGCCCACAAACTCGCGGATATCTTCATCGTCGCACCCACAGAGACTGATCGGTACTCTAGTATGAAGGAGACGTTCATAGATACGATCGTCCCGGCGGTCGTGAGGGTAGACTCTGAACTCTGCTAGGTCATGGTCAACGATCGATTTCAGAAAAGATTGTTTGTTCTTTTGGTTGGCCCTTCCTTTCCTCCACTTCTTCTTGTCTTTCTGCGCCCTTTTATCCCCCCTCCTGGAAGACGTTTGCTTATTCTTGGGGCGCATCCTTTCGCGGCGCTGAAATGGAATTGTGAGTTGTCTTCGTATTGCCTCATCCAAACATCCAAACATCCAAACGATTCAGACAAGGAGCAGCACGTTTGAGGGGCCTGCGAAGTCATTTCAAATTGTGAGCGGAGAAACCTCATCTTGTTTCTAAGGAAAGAGGAGTGACGTCAGTCAATGAAACAGTTGACACCAACAAAGACACCAACAAAGACACCAATACACAATACACCAAAAGCAACTTGAAGCATGCAAGATAAGTGGGTTGCGATCTGCATCTCGTCGATCTTCAGCAACAAAGGCAGTCAAGATGATCCCAATTGCACCCATAACAGCCTCATTGGCGCCTTTCTTCGCGCCTATTGCGATCGTCTTGTCGCTGACATCTGCCCCAATTCCTTCGACTCCAGTAGAGATTCCAGTGTTGGAAGTAGTAAAAGTCTACGGAAGGATCGCAGGACCGGAGTGTTACGGAATGAAGGCGCCATCAGGATCATCTTGTCAAGTGCAGTTGTCAGATTTCAAGCGAGCTCTGGGATTATTGGATCAAGGAAAATATGTCCAGAGAGACGAATTTGCCACACGATTGGATGGTCTCGAATTTCAGTGGCCCTTGAAGCCCTATGGCGTGGACAAGTCCCTATCCAAGACAGCGGTAATGAACAAGGGTGCCGAAACTCGTGTATACATGGAAGAACTGGAAGGACGAGGATTATACGATCGACGGAATCCTACGGGGCCTCTTCCCTCGTCTCTCCGGCCGGCAATGAACAGAGCTATACAGGCTGAAGGGCTTGACAAACGTGCTGTTGACCTTGTTTTCCGGTCGTTTTCAAGTGGCTCTCGTGATGGAACATTGTCGACTGAACAGATTGATCGAATATTCCAAGGAAGGGACGAAATGGATTACTACGATTATCTCAAAATAGTTGGAACGGATTCTGTTCGGTGGCCAAACTAAATAATGCAGTTTTGTGAACGAGCGCTGTAGAACAGGAAAGCTGCATGAGTTTATGATCGGATGCTCTATCATTGTTGTTATCGTTTGTTACCAGTACCCGCAAATGAAGAACATGAAGGGGTGTGGTGTTGAGCAAATCCATTGTAGTAGTTTGTAAGTGTGCATTGTGTTTGGAGATTGTCATTAGTGATGTGAGGGGTGGAGTGGACCGGTATCTGGAAGGTTGTTTGTGACGGTCACCAGTTAGATGCGATGCTATGGGCTTCAGACTTCTTGGCATGTAGAATTTGTGCCTTCAGTAAATGTTCTTGGGTGCTAAAGGTCGGACATAAAACTTTTTCTCGTTGACATTCCTTGTCCCTCCAGCCAAGCATACGCTTTTCGTTGGTTTCCGCAAGGTCTGCTTAACTGGTTCTTTCTTCTTCTTGTGAGGAGACGATGGCTTCTGACGAAGCTTTCTCACTCTGTTTTTGACATGTCTGAGCGCTGCCCGTCGCTCTGGTTTTGATAATGGTTTGAACGTTGAGCTTGCCGAGTCTTCTCCTCGAAGACCTCGTCGCAACTCGATCCTGTCCTTGAGCAAACCAAGATGAACTCTCCGTTCCATTGCTTCAATAAAATCCAACTCAGACTTTATTTCACTCCGTACAGCTCGGCATTCTGCAACAATTGATGAGTTTTCGATGATTCTGTTTTCAACGTCGCTAGCAACTGTGAGCAGATTGTCGTCCGAAGAAACTACCGAAGCATAATCCCCCCTTTTGTCGTTGCTTTCAGTAGCAAATCCACCGAGAAAATTCACCTCTTTGTTCCCCGTAGCTTCTCTGGTTCTACCGGTACAGTAGACATTGATCTCTCTTCTTTTGTACGAGGAAAGGAACAAGGCATCGTTGGAAGGTTAACACGAAAGCTCGGAAAATTTGCGATTTTGTGACGAAGCCAAGCAACGGAGTTTGTCGACGTGCTTTCAAATGAAAAGCCGTCAGAGCGGATTGAAGTTTGTTTGATCATCATTCCCCTTCATCAAGCAACTGGTGGTACCGTACCGATGATAACCATACCGGCAGCAAGCAAGTTGTTGGATGCTTGGAAGCCGCCCCAAAGCATTTCTCGCGTGTAGCACACCAAATGTTCTTGCCTTGGATCTGGATCTTCTAGAGAATTGGGAGATGGCCCTCTTTTCGCCAGATACGGAAAACATCGCTGTAGGTTTCGTTTCCGCAAATCAAGCCATTTATGAGCTACGCTATCGACCGGTAGCACGCCCACAGAACAAGTTCCTAGTTGGAAATCTTCATGAAGTACAGAAATATAGTGGAAACTTGAGGTGGTACAAATTCATGTTTCGATATTTTTAAAGGAAGTAGTTGGAATTCCAGGCCGCACAGAAAGATGCTGTTTTCCCACACTCATTGGCACAATAGTTGTAAGCTTCAGTGCTGGAGGAGAAACTACCCACCAAATGGGAGGCAGAAGGGTTGTTGTCTGAACAGTCAGGATAGATGGCCACAGGATAGTTGTTCGCCCAAGCATTACAGGTGTCACTGTCTAACTCGCAATAAATTTCGCATCCCTCACGGGTATGATCTGCAGAAATAAAGTTTGCTTTCAAGGACAAAGCTGTGGAACTCTGGCAATATTGTTTGCGGAGTTCTTGGTCCTCATAATAGGCTAGTCCACGAAGACTTGCAGCAGAGCCAGTAGTTGCCAGTGTTGTGATTGTCATGAATGAAATCAGTGTGATCATAGTGGGTGATACCTTCATTGTTATTTGTCTCGTGTTTGCTTGAATCTGTTTTACTTGCGGTGTATTCTTTTTTGTGGCGGATCTTTGGTGTTTGTTTTGCTTGTGTCAGTCAATGCAACTGCATCCCTCATATGCTAGATTTGGCAAACAGCTTAGCATCCCGCAAGTTGGTGGCCTGGCTTCAATGATGAGCCCGTGCAACCTTTCGGCAAAGTTGAAGAGGACCAGGAAGACAGCTCTAGCTAGCTAGCTAGGACAAGGCTGTCCTCGAGCACTCATCAGCCATTTACCGAATCAATTTACTGGACATGATGCAATCCACGCTCATTCGATTCGATCATGCGTCGTTCATTCACAGATGCGAGCGGGAGTCAATGTCATGAGCCAATTTGCCTCGATTGTTGGACCTCCGGAGCTACCTGCGTGCTACAACTGTAGTACCATTTGGACCGTAGTTTCTCCTTCAGCACTGCGTCTTCCAACTATTGCGTTCATTTTCCGTTTTCAGTGCCTCCAACTGAATCCAAACAACATAAACCAATTTTCGACGGCAGCATTGATGACAAAACTCTCCCATCCGAGTACGGTACACGAGGGCCTCCCTCTATGTCCAGTTTTCTTCGAGTTCGAAATCATGGAAACAACTAGGTGTACTGGCAAGAGCTGCGTCGATTGCATGCCAGTGGATTGGCCAGGAGTAGACCACGCAACAGGGCGACTAGCACAAACGGATTGACGAAAGCACTTGAAGAATCATGTAGGATTCTCTCGTTACTGTAGACTAGTTAGTTCACGATAATGAAAAACTCAATTGTTGAGTTAGAAAGCTGCCATGGAAGCAGCAGGCAGCGGAGTCGCGGGAGGGGAACTAACCCCGGATGTCTCCAAAGGAGCGGCTGTCGGAACCATCCACGAATGGTTGGAGTTACCCTGTGCGGCGGGAACGGGGTGACTTCGCAGGGCATCCATACCTTCGTTCAAGTTTTGGCGTCCTCTTCGGCTCACGCTCAGTGTTGTCGATCGGGTAATGTCGCTGAGCACGGAATCATCGTCGTCACCGATATCAATCTCGTGATGCTCTACATTGAAGAATGAGAACTTTTGCAGTTCCTCGAATTCACTCACAGTGGGAGACGGCTTGATGCCGGCGAGAGCAGGCTTCTGAAGCAATGTTCGGTTCAACAGTTGCTGGGCTCTTTGGCTCATGACGTAATTTGCTGGAGATTGGTCGGCTTCCTTCAAGTCACTGGGGACACACAGTGTGTGCCTTCTCATAATGTCTGGTTCCTGAATTCGAGCAATTCGTAGTTGTTGCAATCTACCCTTCACCGCGCACAATGCTTCATTTCTCTCCACCGGACTGAGTGGTTGCACTTTGATCCTCGGTGTGATTGCTCCGCTGGCAAGGCTCATTTCATCCAACGGCTTGTTGAGGAGGGATAATTTTTTCATCTCTCGAATCAGTCTCAGCTTGTCTTTGACCATGTCAATTGCCATTTTCCGTTCCATCATATCCAACGCCTTGACATCCTCCTGTAATTCCTGGTGTAACGTCTGCAGTTCTTGCTGCACCGGACGCTCGCTGGCTTCCGCTTCAATGGCTTCATCCGGATCGGTGGAATCCGTGGTATCATTTTCTTCCTCATCAATGGCATCATCCCTTTTCTTGGGCGACATGCGATGTCGGTGATTGTTCTGCACCAATGCCAGGAATGATTCTCCCATTTCTAGTGCAGCAATTTTCTCCAACAATCGAATGATTTTGGGATCCTTGTGATCCTTGAGTTCTTCCCATCGAATCTCCAGCGAATGTCGGTAATGATTCAGCGCCGCATCCCGATTGGCTTGATAAATATCTTGCGGCGAATTGTTGTTGTTGTTATCATTGCCTCGTCGTTGTTGTTTGGCTGCTTTCGACGATGCATCACCCGATTGTGCCCAAAAGACATCACCCATGTTACTATGAACGGTTCCCACGTCCAAATGATCGGGCCCCAGCGTTGCCATCATGATTTGCAGTGCTTCTCGATAGGCTTGCAGTGCCTGATCATATTCCCGTTTCAAGTAGTGTACCGTGCCCAGATTGTTAAGCGTCTTTCCCACACTCAGATTATCTTTTCCCAGGACACGTCGTTTGATTTGTAACGAGTTTTGATAGGCCTGCATGGTTTCTTCTGCCGACGCATGACCGGATTGTTGTCTCAAGTAGCCAATATTGTTAATGGACGTTGCCACGGATACCCACAAATCATCGGATCCCTTCTGGACTTCCGGTTCTTCCTTCTTCTTGGCTGGTTCTTTTTCATCAGGTTTGTTGTCTACTGCTGCTGGCAGTGGCGCAGTTATTATTGGATTCCCCAATTCATCCAATTGTTGCGACCCTGCCAGTGTTCGATTCTTGAGTTTGAGTGCCTTGACGTAGTGTGCCATGGCCTTGTCGTATTCTCCCCGTTCAAACATTTCATTTCCAGTATTGTCGAGTGCGGCGGCTGCCTTGGCGATTCGTTCCAAGTGGGGGTCGCGTTTGTCACGCATCTTTTGTTGCGAGGAAACAGTGGGAGCATCAAATTTGGAGGAAGAAGGAGTTCGTCGAGGTGGAGTCTTATCCTCACTGGATGTTGTTGCTGGAAGTGATTGTTCGACTGATTTGGGGGCTCGTTCGGATGATGCTGGACCTAAAAGAGTGTCCTGCTGCTGTTTGTTGTTGTTGTTGTCTTGGCTGCTGTTCTTGTGTTGTTGGTTATCATTCTCTGCCTTGTCGGGATTTGTCTTGCGACTACTACCCATAGTCCCAAAGCCCATGCGACTCTTTTTCTTCTTCTTGGGTTGATCCGCAGCAGCAGTGGCTCGTTGTGCAGCATTGGCATTCTTTTTGCTTTCTGCCAGTGCCAGCCTCAGTTTACTGGAGCGATTGTTGAATAGGGGATCGTCGTGCTCTGATTCCGTGTGACTTCGATTGTACATGGCCCGGCTGGTGCCTTGTTTCTTTTTACTGCTGGTGGTGGCTTTCCCATCTCCCTTGTCACTGCTGCTTGTCTTGGAATTGGAGTGTTGAGCGGCATTGCTGGCCAACCGAAAATTGATCTTCTTGGTGATCTTCTTGAGAGGATTCCTCATGGTTTGCTTGCTTCTATCAATCAAGCTAGAAGAGAACAGATAGATAGACAGCCCAGCTACGGAACTTGCAAAGACACGGATTCCCTCTCCCTGCCTTGCTACTCAACTATCACCCCAGAAACTTCTTTGACGGTAGTGGGAGTTGGCAATGCACAAAACTCGAAGATGGTGGTCGGAGGGTCGGATTATGGAAAAAGCGAACAGTTGGTTCGAGGAGGTAGCTGTGGGGTATCCAACGAATGGAAGGAGGAAAGAGCCACTACTAGTAGTAGCCTTGATGGAAGCAAGGAGGAGGAGGATAATAATAAAGGTACTTTGCTCGTGGCGATTCGGAAGCTCTCAATGTCGTCAGGTTGCAGCCATCACCATCGTCGTCCACCCTCAGTTAGTTTGCATGTGAGACGCCTTTTTGAAATGGATGTGTCTTGTTGACCATGCGACAGTTGCTACCGGTATGACTGTACGGGTATCGGCAATCTGGCGGCATAATTTCAGTACCATGGCGCCAGTAGGAAAGCCTGAAGAGAGATTCCGTGCGATTTATTTGCTATAGAATGTTGGTAAGCAGTCCGTCACCTAATCTAACCTTAAATTTGCACAGGCTAATAATTTATTAAGGCTATACCTTTCATTACTAGCTACCGGTACCGGTACATGTGCAGTACGCTGTACGACTGTACGACTGTACCGGTGGCTAGACCTTTTTCGCAATAATATTCTCGCAATCTTGGGATCGAACTCGCTTCGCACTTCTCAACAAGGCAACAAGGTGACACCAACACGGCTTGGACACCATTTCTTTCTCACAGAACGTCTATGCTGGAATTCGATTGATCGTCTCGAGCAACTTCTTCATAATTTGCTTCTCCCAGAGATTTTAATAAAATCAATAAACCATGTCATCATCAACATCGAGGGTCAAGATTGTCATTGTGGGTGCCGGTCCTTGCGGTCTCCTATTGGCGTGGAATCTGTTGCAGCACAACGACAGTAAGACTTATGACATTTTTATTGTGGAAAAGCGTTCCGATCCTCGTTCCAAGACGGATGCTGCCAGTAGTGATCGAACCTTTCCCATTGCCTTGCAATCCCGTGGATGGAATGCTTTGCCAAAGTCCATTCAAAGCACGCTTTCCAATCAAGGCGTTTGGGTGGTGGGACTCTGTCTGCACGGCAAAAAAGGACGTCGGTTCATTCCCAGAGATAAACCAAATCTATCCATTGATCGCAACCAATTGGCCAAAACATTGCTCGAGGCAGTGGCACAAGCAGCAACTAGTAAAAGTAAGGTCCAATTCCACTTTGACAGCGCCATGGAAGATTTGGATCATGACGCCAAGACCATTTCGATACGAAGCAACAATACTAATAATGACACGACAACGACCACCACCACCCTTGCGTTTGACTACCTGGTCGCCGCCGATGGAGGACGCTCCCAAGTGCGACAAGAACTTTGTGACAACAATCTATTGACGGCAGACATCCAGGAAATTCCCGATGATTATCGAACCATTCATCTGTCACGAGCAGCTCCTAAAGTGGAACGCATGGATTCCGACAAGATTCACGGTTGGATGTTTCCCACGTGCAAAATCATTGCCGTTCCCATTCATCCGGGGGTAGTCAGTGGTGCCATTATTTTTGACAAGGGATCCGATCCATTTGCCACCATGACGGAACCCCATCAAGTGCAAGATTATTTTGCCCAATTGTCACCGGAAGAACTGGCGTTTTTGGTTTCCGACGAGGAAGCCGACGCCTTGTTAAATCGTCCCACGGCCACACTACTCTCGGTACGGTGCAGTCAATTGCACACTCCCCATACACTCTTGTTGGGCGACGCGGCCCACGCCGTCTCGGCGTCGTGCGGACAAGGCTGCAATGCCGCGCTGCAAGATGTACAAGTCTTTTGCGACACGCTAGCTCAACAAAATCACGAGTGGAATAAAGCATTGCCCGCCTATACACAAGCACGCTTGGGAGATGCTCATGCCGTTAGTGAATTGTCAGATTACACCCATCCACGGTCCGGATGGCTCAAATTCGAGTTTATTGCCCGCACCATTTTGCGCAAACTGTTGCCACTGTGGCTAGCCAATTGGCTCTTGAAGCCACTGCCCACGGAAGTATTGGCAGGGACGGATATCTCGTATACGCAAGTGCTAGCGCAAACGCAATGGTGGGTGGATCGAGTCAAAAAACAGACACAGCAATAACAACAGCAATAGACAAACTAAACATGGAGTGGCTTTCAAATGAACTGGAGTGGTTCTCCTATACTCGCTAAGCTGGATATCTAGCTCATTCTATGTACTGAGAGCCCTTTACGAGATAGTCGACAGACTGTAATGATTTTTATCAGACCATAAAAAGAATACTTCAGGTTTTGAAGGCTCTCATTCCCCCCAGGAACAGTGCAGTCCATAATTCATGCAATCACTCAGCCAGCTTCTTGGTATCAGCATGGCTGACTTCATCACGTTGCAAACAAGTACTGGTACAACTCTTTCTGACCCAACGAGGCTACTCACATGCCCAAACCTGCTCACGTGCGCTGTCTCAAACTCCCTTCAGTTTCGTAGCTTAAACCGCTCGCAGCTTGCCAGTACCGGTACGGTACTAGCTAGTAGCTTGCACCCAACCAGCTTGCCAGCTTGCTTGAACCCAACAACGCACCCAACAACCACCCCCAGCACCCAACTGGCCAACCAGCGCAGGAGCTCACCATAAACCAGCAATAAGCTTACAAAGCTGTTGCATTTGGGACCAGTATGGATGTATGGATGTAGTCTACCTTGCAGTACTGGATCTTTCGCGTTGACTGCTAAGCAAGAAATCCAGTGAGTGAAAATTGCCTGTCCCTGAGCAGATTTTTGGCGTTTGTTACCCACGCTGCCCATCTTCCTTCCTTCATCTGTCGTCTTCTACAGGTTGACTGGTCCCACAAAAATCGAGATCAGATCATTATCAAGAAACTGACAACAACATCCTTCAAAATGAGTAGTATCTTCCGCTTCCTGATCATGGTGATGGCGATTCTTGTCCCTGTTGCAAGAGCTAGAGTTGGCGACGTTCGAATCTTGTCGAGTACCACGCCTTGTCCGGCACAAGGAGCCCGTTGCGACAATTATGTGGGCAATCACTGCTGCAACTCGGACGGTATGCTCTCCAATGTGGTCCCGGACCACTGTGTCAATGCCAACGAAGGCAATTCCCCCTGTGCCAGGGGCCATGTCTGCACGGGAGTGGATGCCAACAACAACGAAAGATTCTGCGAGCAGGTTGTCACCAACGATGGATTTGGCAAGTTTGAAGTCATTTCGAGATCACAAGCGGGCCTTGGTGACGAGTGTGACGATGTATCTGTCAAGTGCGACAGCGGTTGCTGGTGCAACTTAAATGGTGGGTCTACGGGCAGATGTGAACCTCTGATCGTGGGAGGCTGGGGGGCACCATGATTCCGTTGAATTCAACGAGTTGGTAGCCACGGTGATGCCAAGCACAACTACCCATTTGATTGTGCAGGGCCTATTCTTTTTCAATGGCACAAGACAAGCATCATAGGCAAGCAACCAACAAAACGCGACTGCATCCATACACACCATACATAGTGCACACAAACACGCTAACACAAAAATTTGCATGAAAACCATGTCTCTGGCTTAGCTAAGTTGCAAAATGCCCACACAACTGAATTCTTAGGCTACTAGCTAGTAGCAACTAGCTAGCTACTAGCCCAGCATGGTATTGTCTTCTTGTACAGTAGTAACTGCGGAAAACTTGACAACCTCTCCGCCACTGGTTCCACAATCAGCCTGGTCTCAAAGGGCTGCGATGCAGCCAAAACAAACTGGAAGGGCGTTTGTTCATTATTATTGCAAATACTGTACTACATAACCTTAGCGCAGTGGCTCTAATAAACAAACCAGTGAATCTTCCAACAGTCGTACTAGACTAGTATTGTTATGCCATGGACGCTGAAACGGTCCAAAATCAGGATTTTTAAAAGAATCCAATTAAATTGATCAATTACAAACCTAAATATAAAATCGAAACCTAAAATAACCTAAATATTAATCCGAAACCAAATTACTGTGGTAAATAACTAGTAAAAATCAAGCCGAAACCTAATTATAAAATCAAATTATATATATAAAATCGAAACAAAAATTTTAAATCGAAACCCAAATACTCCAGCAGAATTACTTGTAAATCGCGATTTCGGCCCTTTCGTTTCGTCTCCGATGAGAACACGAGAACAGTCCTCTCAGTCGGGAGGAGGCGAGTCGAGTGACATTGTACAGTCCGGTCCGATCACCAAAAGCACGAATGTAGCAACACAGCTGATGCAGAGAGTGGTGGGTTCTCAAATAATGTGATGAACAATGGCAACAAATGGTGATGATGCAGCGTTGTGGTTCTGGAAAGCCGATGGTGGTTCTTGGGAATTGTACCATGAAGTTGACCGTGCCATTCTCGAGAGTGCTCTACTTGCTGGCGAAACTTCCGTTATACTACTGCATGATGAAGTTCCCAAGTTCGAGTGCCACTTAAGAAGGAACCCCATGAGGCAGCAAAATTTGCAGTCTGGACATTGTAGAGAGATTCTTCGTGGTTGGCCAGACGAACAGCAGAAGCAAGGGACGACAGAGAGATCCGCAGCAGCGATTCTCAACAAAATGAAAGAAATCGGGAACGATCCACAAGATGCTGCTCCTCATATTCGTCGTGGTTGGCCCAAAGTGAAATATCAGACAATAGGGAGACCTGCAATGAAGTCTTTGAAATCCCAGAGTGAAAGCATCAGCAACGACAACACGCGCCAAGCCGGTTTGGATCGAGAAAACCAGGCTTACCAAGTTTGCAATGATCCGCAGAAGAAAGCAGCGGAGACAATACCCCATATCAAAAACGCCAAACAGAGCGCAGAGCTGGCTCTGGATATGTTGGGTGTGAGTGTCTATCACGCGGAACAAGTCTTTCTTGAGCAAGAAGTGTGCGTTTTTACAGATACCCCATCAGGACAACCTCTATCTGCATCTTCCACTATCTATGACATTGAAAATCTACAGGGTCCTCCTGGGGTTATTCGCAGAAAGGGAGTGAACACAAAGTGCCCTCTTGATGGAAAGTTGGGGGCTGCGTATGTGCATTGTTTGGAAGGAGCTGACCATGTAGGAGATGCAACCCACATGCTCAGCTATTCATGGAACTCCTGCATTGGGGATATTGTGGATACTCTATCTGACTTCTGTCGGATGCACAGCCTTGATCCAAAGAGGACTTACATTTGGATCTGCTGCCTTTGTGTCAATCAGCACAGAGTAGTGGAAACTGCAATGCTGCAAAAGTCTGGAATGATCCCAATGGCTCAAGCTGACTTCTTCACCATCTTTGGGGAACGAGTCAAAAGGATTGGGCATGTGCTTTGCATGATGGCTCCATGGAAAACACCAGTATATCTGACTCGGGTCTGGTGCATTTTTGAAGTCTTCACAGCTCTCACAAATGGATGCAAAGTGGACATTGTCATGCCACCAAATGAGAAGGAATCTTTGGAGCAGGATGTCATCAAGAGAGGAGGTGGAATCAATGCACTCTTTGAGACACTAGGAAGCACCAAAGTACAAGAAGCCAAGGCTTCTGTGGAAAGGGACAGACGAGCCATTCTGGACAAAGTGAAATCAGGTGCTGGTTATCAGGAGCTGAACAAACAGGTCAACAATTTACTGAGAGAATGGATGCTGGGTGTGCTTATTCGGCTAGTGGAGACAAGAGAAAATACCAATGATGAAAGCCAGGTTGAGTTTTGTAATACTATTGGTGCGATCTTTCGAGAGAATGGAGAACATGACACAGCCACAGAACTCTTCTTCACTGCTCTGTCCACGTGCAAAGCCAATTTTGGTGACAAGCATCATCAAAATGCCACGACCTACAATAACATCGGTGATGTCTACTATGAAAAGGGTGACTATGATGGTGCATTGGCAATGTACCAGCAAGCTCTTGAAATTAGGGTTTCCTTGTTGGGGAAGAGAAATGCTGAGACTGCCACCATCTACAACAATATTGGATTGGTGATGGCTGGCAACGGTGACTATGATGCTTCTTTGGCAGCTCACATGCAGGCTCTTGACATCTGTGAGACAGTGCTGGGCAGGAATCACCCAGATACTGCCGCAACCTACCACAACAGCGGATATGCCCTTCATAGCAAAGGTGACTATGATGGTGCTTTGGCTAATTACAAGCAAGCTCTTTCCATCCGAGAGAGTGTTTTGGGGAAAGACCATCCCGAAACTGCCACAACCTACAACATTATTGGAGCTGTGTTGTTTGAGATGGGTGACTATGAAAGGGCATTAGGCAGATATGAAGAAGCTCTGAGAATTCAAGAGTCAGTATTGGGCGAAAATCATCCAGACACAGCTGCAACATACAATAACATTGGCTCTGTAATGGGGGCCATTGGTGACTCTGATGGAGCATTGGCAAGATATGAACAAGCCCTGGACATTCGCAAGTCTGTATGGGGTGAGACTCATCATGAAACTGCTGATTCCTACCTCAATATTGCTAGTGTGCTGTGGCAATCAGCTGAGTATGATGGTGCCTTGGCAAAATTGCGACAAGCTGCTGCTATCCAAGAGGCAGTCCTGGGCAAGAATCATCCTCATACTGCTGGCACATACCGCAGCATTGGGCTGTTGTTGTCTGAAAAGGGTGATTATGATGGAGCCAGGGTAGAGTTTGAAAAGTGCCTGCCTGACGATCTGGGAACCTCTTGATCGTCCGAACCCGTGCCAGCGACAAATTGCGACCTGTCAACAACGTACTGAAGAGCTCATCTAGAATTTTGCTTGGTTTGATTTTGCATTTCGCTCGCTCATGAAAAGTCAACTACATTGTACTAGCTAGCCGAAATGCGGTTTTTGGATTGGAACCGGCCGTCGGTTCTCTTTTGATCGTTGTTAGAGATTCCTTTTTGATCATGGTTAGAGAGGCTCTTTTCTGATTTTATTTCGTCCTTGTCAAGACTTGTTGAGATCTTTGCGCTGCTGCAAACGAGGGCGAAGCCGTTTGGGTTCAAGACTACCTCATCATGCTTGCGGAGCTCGTTGCATCCCTGATTTTGACCCGAAAGTTGTCCGATCGTTTTGGCTTGAGCGCTCAAGACTAGTATCGTGTTGGAGCTATAAAATGGGATGTACCATGCGAAAGAACTACCAAGACTATTATCTATTCAGCATTCCCATGGCACAAACTCTTTCCTGGTTGGATTGGGAACTAGGAATGCAGAAGATTTGGTGTCCAGGGTCCGCGTTGGGAATGGTTGTCAACATGCGAGATTGGCTTTGGGTTCTGAAGGGGCTATACGAACGCTACCAGTGGATGTATACAATCTACTCGGATGTTGAGTTTTGGAACCATATTATGCCGGATGCCAATAGCAAGCCAATACGTGGGTGTTTTGATCCAGTGGGAAGCCAATGCTCATTGCGCAAAAGATACCGTATACGATTGTTGGGGTTCAGTTAAAGCTGATTTCTGTGCGTGAATTGTACAGCAACCAGTTGGGGTGATGGAAGCTAGGTCCTCTCAGCTGCAGCATTCCCAAGTCTTCAAGTCCTTTCGAGAATTCCTCTCTACCTCGCCGTTGGTGGTTCCCAACGCACTTTTAGATACCAGGTACCTTCGATTGCTTCCGTTTCGTCGACTTTGAAAAAAGACCACTCCTTCTTTGCAGTTGCACATGCCTCATCAAGAGTTCATCTGCTGTCTTTGTAATCAGCAATATGACGACTGTATCTATGCACCTAGTGAGCGTAGATTGAAGCTTTTGTATTCAAATTTCAAATGGACGTTGATATTGACGGATTTGAAGTGGATACTGTCACAGCTTTGCCTTTTTCTCCATTTCTCTCGGGGCGAACCTTGATAATGGACTCCTTTCTGGTGATTTTGAGCTGTATGATATCCTCACTGGAATTCTCGCCACATTGAAAGGAAAAGAGACCCTTGGCAAAGTAGTGCATAGGTCCCTGTTTCAAGAGAATTTTGGAATCGTCGTACTCGCAGCGATATTGTGCCTTGAGCGCCATCACGCATACGGAAGTATAGTAAAGAGTAATGTCAACCAAAACCACAGACTGGCACTCTTGGAGCCATTCCTCGCGGAGGGCTAGATCGTCGCATGGGTGCACAAACTTATCGTCCGGATTCCCACCACTTCGGAGGAGCTCTTTCGTCGCCGCTTCGGCTAGCTTCTCATCGGTCAATTGGTCGAGAAAGTCGTAGTTCAGACGGAAGCGGGTCTTCATTCTAGCTAGCTAGTTGCTTTTGTATCGTACGTCTGTTGTGTTGCAGCCAATTGTGCTTTCACTTCGACAGCCTCAGAGGTCCTTGTCCTTTGTTTGGCTGGACAAAGAATTCAAACGATCTCAGATCGAGCAAGCAAGATCTAAAAAAATGAGAAGGTTCGCCAAATTGAGCCGGCTAAGTTGAATATTTGGGTTTTGGGTACCCTCGCCACTACAGCTTCGAAGTTCACAGTCGATAGACAATACCGGTAGGTACGGTACCGTATCCATAGTCGATAGTCAATGCATTGTCTTCCTTACAACCGTAAGTTCCTGTAAGTACGGTACGGTATCGGTTGGCAACTGTCCGTGACAATCGACTAGCCGTGGGTAGATAAAGGAGCGACAACGTGTCAGGAGATGGGCCCAGCACCCACCAGCAAACCCTAAGAGGGGAAGATCTTGAACTCTCCTGTGTCGAGGCAATGCACGTTCTTAACACAGATCACAGATTGTGGCTGGACTACCGGCTTCAAGGGAATGGTAGTGCTGGCTCCTAGCTACCAAAGGAGCTTCGATGTATCATCTCGCAGGTTGGGTCGACCGACTATCGTAGCTACATGTATTTTGAAAATCTGGGCTGGGGTAGTCAAATCTAAATTACCATGCATATTTTGTTGCCCGTGTCGGTGATGCATTCAAAAAGATCAGGCATATTCATTGTTTCATTCAGCTTGATTCGTCGCTTCCACTTCTCAGCCAGCTGTTAGCATCTCAGGTAACAAACTCTCAAACTCGGGCTCACCATTCCTCTGGCTCCCTCTTGGCTCTTCGCCTTCATATAGATACCATTCCGTTCAAAGGACAACTTGCTGGTTTGGTGTGATTCGTCTTCGTTTCCTGCATCCTTCTTCTGGAAGCACAGACGTCCCTTTTCGAAAAAGTGCTTGTCGCCGGGAAACTCTCGAACAGTTCCATCCTCTTTGTAGAACCGATAGATGGCTCTGATTGCCATGAGTGAGGTTTCAAATCCAGAGTAGCAATGCACCCGCACCAGTTCCGCCTTATCAGAGGCACCCTTGAGCTTGTCCACCAACAAGGATTGGTCATTCACCTCGGCTCCTTTTCGGCCCCTTTTTCCATTTCTCCTCCTTTCGGAGATTTGTTCCAAACCATCTTGGATGAAGCTCTCGCTATCATCAAAGTCAAACTGAACCAAGACTCTTTTGGAAGGCATATTGGTATAATGAACGCTTGCTTCAGTACATGTATTGTTTTGGTATCTGAGTCCAAAATATTATGAGCTTTGGGAAGGATTGCAATGGATTTAGATTTGGCCTGTGAGGATGTATCATTTGGAAGTTCACCTTCATCGACTTTGTGAGAGGATTGGGTGAAACGTGAAACAACCCAGGCAGAAACCAAGAATCCCCCGTCGTAAGCTGCGACCAACGAAAGAACGCACTGATTTAACATTTGGCATACATACCGGTACTTGTAACACGGAGTTTACTAGAACATTGTGACCGTGTCTGTGCCGGAGGGGGGTATCCGATAATATCACAAAGAGTCCACAAAGACTATGATACTAAAACCGGGCTGTTGAGCAACCAAGACGGAGAGACACCTCACAATTGTGCCAACGCAAGAATTTCTTTCATTATTGCAGCTCCTGACAATAATTATTGGAAGGATCCAATAATGTAGACCTAGCTGGCTACTAGTGGCTTCCGTCCAGGTTCAAGTGGGTCTTTGTGTCTGTCTACCTAGTACTGGTGCCGCTACGGACTTTGCAAACCACTCTCATTCACTCCCAGCCACAAGGCAAGGCCCTGGGCTAATGATGCAGCCAGTAGCAACCAAAGGAATCTCCTGTGACAGTTGACATCGTTGGTGGTTGGATTGCTTAGATCTTCCATGGCCACGAGTATTGGTAATAAAAATTGAAGTATGTCTATTGAAGCATTACAGATTATCCAAATTGTGTGGCACTCAGTACATGTAGTTGTAATAGTTGTATGCTCCCCCTTTCCCCGTTTGCAAAACTTCTCCAGGCAAAGCTACCTAGCACCTGAGAAAACAGATTCTCATGCTTGGACTGACCTTGCCCTTCTTTCCTTGCTGATTGCTAGCTTTCACGATGATACCATCTCGTTCAAAAGATAGCTTGGTAGTGTCCTCCGACGTCCTCTTGAATGATAGATGACCTTGCTCGAAATAGTGCTTGTCCCCAGCAGTTTCGCGTACAGTGCCGTCTTTGTTGTAGGATCGGTAGATTGCTTTGATGGCCATCATAGTGGTACCAAAGCCTGAGTGGCAATGCACTCGAATCAATTCTACTCGTTTGACACCTTCCTTGGCCTGGAGTTTTTTAACCAGAGATCGATCATTCACTTTGACTCCTGTTCGCTCTCTCTTTCCCTTCTTTCGTCGCTGTGCAATTTGGTCTATACCCTCTTCAATGAACTTCTCGCTGTCATCAAATTCGAATTGGATGATAACTGACTTGGACATGGCTCTGTGTGTGTGTGTGTTGGTTTGCTTTGTTGGATGTTTGGTTTGTGAAATTGTGAAAGCAACCCTTCACTTTCCCCGTTGTTGTTGCCTCCGAGCTGAGCGTTGTTTCAGTAACTGTTGATCTTGCCTCGTGTTCAGTCGCCGTTCGTCCATCATGCGACCCAGCGACCCAGTGTTTTCCACTGTGACTGGACTGCTACGTGTAAATCAGGTAGCTGAGGTATCTAATTAGTTTATTGATGGATTTGCTTACCTTATCTACTGTACTGTTACTCGAAGTCTTGCCACACAACACAGTATCTGTTGTGCATCGGAACTTGGAAGAGAAGGGGAAGCGGATCCAGGAAAGGTACTAGCTACTAGCAAGTACTAGCTAGTAGCCTACGTACAGGCAGCTTCGGTTTTATTGATTCAAACGCGAGCCGTCCTTCTTGGTACATTTCTACACGAGCTCACGTAGAAGTGTACTAGAAAACCCGGCACGCGTTTGAATCAATAAAATCGAAGCTGCTCGTACCCAAAATTTGCCAGCCCCCGGTCGGTTCCGCCAGCCCCCGCCAGCCCCCGCCAGCTTCCACGCTTCACGCGCACTCCCCCTCGCTCCGAGCGCCCCACCGGATCCTGTCGGATCCACCAATGCCACTAAACCGGCAACTCGATTGCAGCCACAACCCTCATTTCTGATCTCTCCTCTCAATCACCATGTCTGATGATGAGGATGAACCCTTCACGGCAGATGCCCGGACTTGTCTCTTCACGTCGGCGGCCAACAGACGGAAGAAAGCCCTCAAGTATTTCAACCGCTTCCTCGAAGGGTACTGTGTCCAAATTGGAATCGATGTTGTTGAAGCCGATGCAATTCCCTATCGCGGTATCCCTCGCACGACATCCACCAAGGCCGTCTTTAAATTCTGGGATGACATATTTGCAAACTTCATCTACTACATGGGCAACAAGACAGACCTCGCTAAAAGCAGCGCGGAACAGTACTGCTCTGGAGTGAAAACTGTTGTGCTGGTGCACTGGTTTATAAGTAGTCGGACGAGAACTTAAATTAAAAGAGCTAGTCAATCAAAAAACAAAGAATTGAAATAGTCCACCTACCGTAGCATAGTTAGACAATGAGCGGTAGAGGTAAGGACGAGGTGGCCGAGAGGCGGCAAAGCACGAGGGCATGGAAGAACAACCCATCGCCGAACCAGCAGAAAGGTTCATGCAAAGCCCTCGACCAACATGTGTTTAACTTCGTACAACTGGATCTGGAACGGCAGACCAGATGATACGACATGGGAGAAGATCGTCCTCCACGTTGGACAAACGTTGGGTGACGACATCAGCAATGAGCTACGCAACCTGAAAAAGACAGTGTTGGTAGACCGGTGTACTCAGAGGAGACCCGGAACAGGCTTGACGCGCGCGGAACGACGTGAACAGAACAACCTTCGTCTCCAACGCAACCAAAAGCCTAAGCTACTGGAAGACGAGATAGCCGAGGTCATTGAGAACCCGACTCTCGTAGCTTACGCACACTAACGATAGAGAAAGCAAAACTCGAAAATGAAATAGCCAACCTCATGCAGCCATAGAAGATCCCCGGACGAGGAACTCGGGGACTCGAGAGAGCAGAGTATGGAGGGCTGATGAAGACCCACCTTACGAGGTTGGCAAACTACAAGAAAATAGAGGCAAAGCATTCAACTTGATCCTAGGGCGTGCACCCGACTATTAAAGGACAAGATGAAGCAGAACACGGACTACGAAGACGTCCTGTTAAGATGCGACCCACTGGAGCTACGAAAAATGATCCATAAGACGATCATGGCCCAGACCGATGATAATTTTGTGTACCACACATTATTCAACTGGAAAAACAACTGTTGAATTTCCACCAAGGGAGCCTTACCGCTTCCGAATACCACGAGCAATTTACCACGAAAAAGGACATTGCAAAATCCGTGGGTATTTCCAAGCTACACGACGCAGCGCTGCTGCAATACGGCCAACCTACTCCACCCAGACACAGAATACGCTGATCTGAGCGTCGAAGACCAGAAGATAGTCTCGGCAATACGCAGAGGAACGGTACTATAGTTAATCTCTTTAACAAATAGTTCAGCCGAAAATACCAAGCTTAAACAGAACCTGAGGGACGACTTTGCCAAAGGCACTGATAACTATCCCACACGTTACATGAGGTATTACACCTTTTGGACAAACACACCAAGAGTAACACCCCACGACAGTCCACTTCCCACGGAAGCTCCTTTGCTCAGACAGCACAAGGCGGGAGAGGACGGGGTGGTGGCAGAGGAAAAGGCCGCGGAAACGCGAGCTATGATAAAGAATACTGGAAAGAGAAAGAATGTTTTTCCTGCCACGATAAAGGACATCCAGCATCGCACTGTCCTGACAAAGATAAAAACAAAGATAAAGACAAAGATAAAGACAAAGACGACGATGACAAGTCTAGGTCGAGCAAGCGTAGCAAGTCAAGCACGTCAAGCAAGAAGAGCTCCAGTAGCGTTCAAAGGAAAACCCTAGCTACTCTCAGCAAACTGCAAGATAAAATGACGACAGCATGACAACCCTGGAGGAAGAACAGGATGATGCCGACTCTGACATCACGCAGTCAGACGACGAGAAAGTCGAGAAACGTTTCTTTACGTTCGACGTACCGCTGTTCGCGGACGGAACGAAGAAACGGAAGAAACCGACAAGCAAGGCATAGTCGCCCACACAAAAGGATTGGACGACATAGATATGAGAGAGATCCCAGCTACTGGACAACCAGTCCACGTTGGATCTATTCTGTAATAAAGACATGGTTACCGACATTAGGAAAGCCGATCGTCCAATTACAGTAAAGAGTACCGGAGGCAAGCTGAAGGTCCAGCACACAGCCAAGTTAGCTGGCCACAAACAGAGAGTATGGTTCGATGAAAGAGGAATCACGAACATCTTATCTGTGAAGAATGTCCGCAAGAATTGCAACATCGTCTATGACTGTCCGAAAGGAACTACACAGTCATTAGACCAGGCCTACCGGACGTAGTATACGAAATGAACAGTGAAGGATTACACGTTCATGACCCTAGAAAAAAAGGGAAGGCACTTGGAATACTGTGCCGAAAATAAGGAAGGCTTAGCAAACGACAAGTTAAAGCCGAATCAAGGGCGAAGCTGCTATATAAGCAACTCGTCTATCCATCGATTAAAGATTTCGATGGGCGATTATGAGCAATCAAATCGCAAATGCCCTGTGACCGTCGAAGACATCGACACGGACACAAGCTATATGGGGCAAGGATATTGATGCGCTGAAAGGCAAGACCACTCGACGAAACCGAACGCAGTGGCAGGCAATGCAATAAAGTGCCGAGAGACTTTTTGCAATTACACAAGGATGTGTTCCTAACGATGGACATTTTCTTTGTGGCAGGAATCCGTTCTGTTAACGCTAAGCCGTAAAATCATTTTACAACATCTAGACCACTGCCCAACAGGAAGCTAGAGACCATCCTAAACGCAGTCAGGAGGTCTATCGATTCTACAAGGCTCGTGTTTTTAGAATCACGACCATTCATGTGGACAATGAGTTTGAGCCTCTGTCCAACACAATCAGGGCAATGCCGGGTGGACCGGTATTGAACGTTGCCAGTGCTAACGACACGTACCCGAGATCGAACGTAGAATCCGGGTAGTCAAGGAAAGGCACGAGCTGTCCGGCATAGCTACCGTTTACACGCATGCCAAAAATATTAACCGTCAACTTGGTGTTACAAGTCGTCAAACAGTTGACGTACTTTCCAAGTAAGGCGGGGTCAGCGAGACAATGAGCCCCGTATGATAATGATGGGAGAGTCCCTGGACTATAAAAGCACCTGAGCCTCAGTTCGGAGATACTGCCAGGTGCAGGAAGAAGACTCGCCCCGTAACAGCATGGTAGGCGCACAAAGGCGGCCATCTTATGGGAACGAGCGGAAATAAGCAAGGAGGCTACAAATTTATGAGCCTCCGCTCCGGCAAGAAAATTACTCGGCATTCATGGGACAAGACCCAATGCCGACACAGTAATAGCTAGAGCAATCTATTAGGAAAAGATCAGCTAAACTACTCGTTTTTACTGATCGAAAAAATAGACCCATTGGTGATGTCGAGATCACAGGAGTGGACGGGGAAAAAGCAATGACGCACCCCCACTACAATGATCCAAACCGATGAGGACTGGACGCGGATGCTGAAACCATTGACGAAATGGAAGATGATCCCGACGATCCCAGGACAACGTCACGAGACGACGCCGAATCGATATCAACGAACCGAATGATGAATCGGCGTTGAACCGAAAACGAAACGGAACCGGTTACACAACCTATCGTCGAAACGTAGAGGAACCGGAACCTACTACGGACCAACAGCCCCTGGAACAGATCCAGGAGTGGGCGTTGAACCCAAGCGGCACCTGAGCAGACGCCAGGAGTGCGCAGGTCTAGTAGAGTGAGGACACAAGCAAGGAATCGTATATTCCCAGCTTTGATGGAAAGAAGTATGAGACGCCAAACGTCCATACAACTGAACGTGTCTTGCACCCAGATGCACACATGTTCTACACACAGGTAGAAGAGAACCTGATGTGGTAGCAGCCATCATGACACAGTTGTCATTGAAGGCTGGACTCAGGAGTGGAAGGACAAAGCGACGATGCAGCCTTTGCCGAGATGAACAATTACATCTCAGGGATACCTTCCGTCCGAAGAAAATGGAAGAACTCAGCGATATGGAACGCAAGAGTATCCTAGAGTCAACCCTGTTCCTAAAGTTGAAAAGGACGGGAAGATCAAAGGCCGAGCGGTTGCAGGAGGAAACAAACAGCGTGACTTCATCTCCAAGGAAGACGACAAGCTCGCAACAGTGTCGACAGAAGCAGTGCTACTCCTTGCATAATCGACGCTGAAGAGAAAGGGATGTGGCAGTAATTGACATCCCGAACGCCTTCATCAGACAAGAGTCGAGGATGAAAAAGATAGGGTAATCATTAGAGTAAGAGGAGTACTATGTAGACATGCTGTGTGAAATAGCCCCAGATGTCTACAAACCGTTCGTACAACGGATAAGAAAGGCAACAAGCAATTGCTACTGCAATGCTTGAATGCCATCTAGGCACTATGGTAGCTAGCCTACTATACTACCGTAAGTTCCGGAAGACGATGGTCCGGAACGATTTAAGATTAATCCTTACGACCCTGTGTAGCCAACAGAATGGTGCACGGCAAGCAACAAACAGTCTGCTGGCATGTAGACAACTGTAAGCTTAGCCACAAGGACTGAAGGTTAACGACCAGCTGATCCAAGTGCTCCGTGATGAATACGAAAGCATATTCGAGGACGGCACTGGAGATGACGGTGAGCCGAGGAAAGGTCCACACGTATCTTGCATGACCATAACTTCACGACGAAGGGTCAATGCAACTGTATCAATGTACAAGTACGTTGATGAAACCTGGAAGCCTTCGAGAAGGCATCGCCAGAGAAGGGGGAACGAAAACTAGAAATAGTGCAGCCCCGAAAGACCTATTCACAGTAGACGAATCCTGCAAGAAGCTCCCAACGAGCAAGGCAGACACTTTTCACAGCCTGGTGGCTAAGGTGTTATCGCTACGAAGAGAGCCCGACAGACACAGGTACGGCGATATCGTTCCTTACGACTAGAGTCAAGGAACCAGATAGGCACGATTGGGATAAACTAGTCCACCTCATGCAGTACATTAGACGTACTGAAAACTACCATTAGTTCTCAAAGCCGACGGAAGTGGCAATTGAAATGGTATGTTGATGGTTCTTTCGGAGTCCATCCAAACATGAGGGGTCATACCGGAGGCGGTTTGACCATGGGCACCGGTTACCCATTATCGACTTCGACGAAACAGAAGTTGAACAGAGAAGCTAACTGAGAGTGAACTCGTGGCAGTTGATGACCTGATGCCATCGATCCTTTGGACGAGGCAGTTCCTTCGGGAGCAAGGCTATGTAGTTAAGAAACTATAGTCTATCAG